ATCTTCCAGAGTTTTACAGAAGGAAAGTTATTTGGCTTGGCTGCTGTAGCTACAGTAGTACTGGTAATATCATCTGATATAATTAATGACAATGGCAGGTTCTTCAGGGTTTACAGAAAAATATTTTAGAACTTGTCAGTGGTTATAACAGTTAGAAGTTTTGCAAACCTTGGAAGAATAGTTCTAGAAATATCAACTTTTCCTGTAGAACTGTTCTCCAAGAGTGCAGGGAACAGACAGCTGTAGTATTCATGCTATCTCATTATATTGTAAATAGATTAAGATTTCTTCTATTTGTTTGTTTTTACAGGATTCAAAAACCAAGACAACACCAACCAAACCACAGTCTCAGCAAATGCTGGAGTTGCTCTATGATCACAGAAATCAAAGAAATCCATTCAAAGTACCAAACAAGAACCAAGAATTATCATCTGTTAAAGAACTGAATGACAGAGAGGACAAAAATCAAATAAAAAAAGAACATGAGAAAAAAGAAACTGTAGAGTTTGACAAAGAGGCCCTTCAAAAATTATCATCTGAAACCAAAAGAAAAGAGCTTCTAACAACGCTGAAGATCAAGAACACACAGTTTGGAGGAAAATGTGAGAACTCATATGCAGGAGCAATAGAAAACCAAGCAAAATCAAGTGATGCCGTGTCTGTAAGGGAGAAAGAGACATCTTTTAATGGATATAAATATCTGGGTAAAAAGGCTGAGATGCCTCCTGGTCACACTGGACATGGTTCAGCTGTGAGAACTGCTGGAGTTGATGCGCAGAAAGAAAAAAGATCATTGCAACCATTGCTAAATTTCAAGATCCAGAAATCCAGTGGCAGGCCCATTGATGAGGAACAGTCTGGCAAAGGGGTTCCAGAAATCTGCAAGGACAAAAGAATAACAACGAAAACAAATGGCCATTGGGGAGCTGAAAAAGAGACAGGAGTGTCTAGAGATCATGCAGCTGTTCAGGAACTGACAGGCTCTGTTCCTGGAGCACCACACAAAGGAAATCCAGAGAAATCATCAGAACGGTTACAGATGGGAGTCACTCCGGGAGAGAAAGACTGTGCCACTAAAAATGTTAGCAGTGGTGAATGTGACAAATCTGTGCCTTTCGAATTACCTGTTGTGCAAGGATTTGAATTCCAACAAGGAAAAGACAGCAGTCAAAAGAAACTGTCGCCCACATTGCCAGAACTGGCCTCTTTGCAGATCACAGAAAATGTGGATTCCAAAGCTCTTCACCACCAACTTTCAGCTCAGCTGGAGCAGAAAAAGGTCTGTTTTGCTATATGCTTGATTTTCTGTATCTGTTGATATATTCAATGGGACTGGAAAATGTCCTGTGTTGTGGGTATAGTGGGTTCTTGGGATCCACTGGGATTTGATNTGTCCCTTATATAATATTGCAAAATCAAGGGTTGCGTTTTGATTGTTTTACAATATTTTCAGGCCAAGGGTGGTTAAATAAGTGGTTAAAAAAAATCTGTGGATATAGAGGTCACACTATAATCCACGCTGCTGCTGTACTAGTTCCATCTTTTCCAACCTGATACCCTCCAGATTGCTGCGTTCCAGCTCATCTTGAAGGCACCAGCTTGGAGAAAGCTGTATAAGAATAGTCTCGGGTTTTTTTCTNTTTTTTCTCATGTCTAGGTCATGCAAAGGGCATCACATATTTTGACACAGTGGAATTCAGGTGGAGCCCTTAAGTTTGTTTCAAACACGCATTTCGGCCTGTATAGGTAATGCTCTTTTTGATTTTGTTAGTAAATGAAAAGAACAGTTGAAGTATTTGTGTCAGGATCACCATATCAGTCTGGGACTGGCTGCTTCTGTTCTCTGTCATAAAGAAGGGAGGTTGGGGGAAGGGAGGCTGGTTACAGTTGAGGAAGGTAGTGTAGACAAGACATCTGTTTTGTGTGGGAAATTGAAACTGCAGTTAACAGACTGTGGTCACAGTGTTTGGACACTAGGGAGCGGATGGGAGTTGGAACTGATATATACAGGAGGTTTGAGTGGGAAAACTTTAGAACTGTCTTTTTAGGATTATGGAAAGAAGGAATAAACTACTTGTCTCCAGCATTTTATTGTTGTGAGCTTGATTTTAAATGCAAGATTTTCCAGAGTCTGACAATTTGGCTTTGTGTAGTCTTATATGGAAATGTTACTATGAGGAAGTTTTCTATTTTTGGCACTTTTCCAAATGAAACCTTCTGAAAACTATATAAGTGGTATTGCATTGGGTAGGCAGAGAAATGTGAAAATGAGCAAGGCAGCAAACTAGAACACTTCCTCGTCTGCTTCCTTAATCATGTTCTATTTTTATACTCTTCCCATTGTTTAGTTAGCCTCTGTTTTCTTGAAAAACAATTCCCTAATCTGTAGATAGATGATAAGAGAGGATAAGTGGAACTGTTTATGTTGGAGCATGATACGTTCAATATTCTAACTTCCTATAATTACTGTAGCCCACTTATTAGCACTGTATCACTCTTCTATTTCGCTGCTATTTAGATAATCATATCTTTCCCTCCCTTTTTGTCTCTAGAAAACTTTGAAATTGGTGAATGTTCAGGCACTGCCAGATAAAGGCGAACGATTATTAAAGCAAGTGGAAGAGCTGGAATCTGCACTTAGCTCTCTGAACTTGGAGACAGAAGAAAATGCAAAGAGTGGTAAGCATTTTAATTCATCATTTGGAGCCAGTGTTCCAAATCTACAGTCCAAAATAGGTCTGGACAGTTAAAATTCATATTGGTCCACCAAGAGCTGTTCCTCCTTCTGCTACAATGTTTTTGAAGGAAAAGGTGGGAAAGTACAGTTGCATTCAGCCACATATTTCAGGAAAATACCCTTTCCCCCCAAACTGCTTAGTGAGAAAATACTGAGAAGCCTAATGGATTTGTGAAGAAAGTGCACTTGATGGTCTTTGGCACTTCCTTCACAATTAGGTCCTTAAAAAATTATCATAAAAAAGTTCTTTGTTTATAGCAATGGTTGGAATTAGGTGGTTCTTAAATGTTGAAGCACTTCAACTTACACAATTCCTCACCGTTTGCTATGCTGTGTATGGCTGCAATCCAGTCACATCTGAAAGGCTGAAAAATTTCCCTTCCTGTACTGTAAAGCTAGAGAAAGATCATTGTTTCTAGGTCTGACGATTTCTGAACTCTGGTGCTTCTTTTCCTATCTCAAGTTTTGAAATGTCTGTTAAACAGTTCTGAAGGAATTGAAGACTTGTTAAAAATTAAAATATTTTGGTGCCTAGTTATAGGCATTATTCAACTTTGCTCTTTGTTGAAATCTGATAACCTAATTTTCATCATCTTGGGTTTTGCACCTGTTGAAACTATAATGTGGTCTTTAGCAAAGAAAAACTCAGTGAATAGTTCATAGACACAGACATGCTTGACTACATTGCTTTAGTTTGCCATCGAGGAAACTGTATATTTAAATGCATCCAAATGTAAACAAAGAGAGACCATCAAAAAGGTCCTGCTCAAGAAAAAAAAATGATTTTATTTGTTTATTATTTACTGTATTTATACCCAACCGTTCTCATCCCCCATAGGGGACTTAAGGCAGCTTACATATATAAGCAACAATTAGATGCCAAAAACACACATAATAAAAACATCAGCATTAAAACATAATTAAACCTTAAAACCAATTATTTAAAATCACAAAATTCAATATCGTAATCCGTGGCCGTTCCAACTTGTCATTGCACTATTTCATCTTTTCTTATTGCACTGCTAGATTGTTCATTGAATGATGGTTGAACATCCACATTT